AACACCCATGTATATAAAAATGAATAAATCACTAAAAATCCTAAAATTCCTTTTAAGTGGCATTTGTGCTTTTCATCCCTGTATAATTGGACAAGTAAGCTACAAGGACAGACACAGGGGAAAAATCCTCTTGCCAGATTTCTGGGAGATTGAGCCTCACTAGCATGGTCCAGAAAAACAGACAAAAAGAAATGTGTTAAATTACTGTGCCTATGCAGGTTTTTTTCCCCTTTTAAGTGTTCACTACTAGGTAGAACAACTAGTTTTCCTCTTTTCTTACCAGAGTTTGTTGAACAATATGAGTCCAGCTTGGCAATTCTGAGGATGAAAAGGATTCCTGGAGAAATGCCACCTCTTCACCTGGCCTCTCCCACCACACAGTCTCCAGATCACTAATTGCTTTGAAAGCCTCACAATCAATTTCATCTGTCAGTGCATTCTTTATTTCACAGATTGTGGCCTCTGGGGGGAGATTAGAGCATTGGCGGTCCACTGGTGGATGCTTTTAATGTCACTAATGGTTGAGGCAAGAGAATGGTGCTGGGCAAGTGCAGTACCAGAAGGAGTATCAATAGATCCTGCAATGCTAGGAAGAGTCCTGAGGTCATGATGATCCTTCAGGGCAGCTGCCAGAGAGGTTAACTGATACAGGCAGTGATAGTGATGAGCCACTGATAGGGCTGAAGGTAGAAAGGGTTGCCCATTAAGCATTAAGTAAGATGGCTTGTTCAGCTACAGTCACTAGAAAGGGACTCAGTTCAGAGCTGCTGGTACTGTCAATTCATGGAGGGCTTCTGCAGGAACAGGGTGGGGGATCTGGACTGAGCCTCCAATATCTACAATGCTTTTCCTATTTCAGGTATCCTGAAAGTGCAGGAATCAGGAAAACCAGGTATCCTCATCTGCTAGAATGTCCTTTGCATTCAGCTAGACAGCAATCCTTCCCTTCCCTGGTCCCATACTGGTCTCTAGCTGTCCATCATCTCCTACCATTCTTACTCAGTTGCCTTGGATTTTACCTCCAGCAATTCTTTGAAGACTGCCTTCCCTCTGTCCTTTGTGATCCACTAGATGTACATCGATTACAATGTCCTCCTACCAAGCCAAATTCACTTAGTAAAAAGTGCAACTCTTCCTCCATGGTAGCTGGACAAGGCTGGAGACAGCCATGCTCCTTAACTCCCTGGACCTAGTATAAAGTCTTAGAACTTAGTTGATAACTACTATTATTGTTTTGCCTACTTACTTCCTGTCTCAAGGGAAAATGCCTCCTGTGTCCTCCTTTTTCATCTAAGTTCTTGCCTCTCTACCCGCCTGGTGACAGTATTGCATTTTACTGAGGAGACAGAGGGCCACAGAAAACTTTCTCTATTTTCCTCGTGCACCAATGCCCCTGCCATCTGTTGTCCTTGTTCTTTGCCTTTTGTTTTCCCCTCAGACTTTTATTTTAATGTGTTCATTGACAATTTCTAAACTGTATAAAACACATCCTAGTTACACTTATCCCCCCCCCACTCTCCCATCCCCTTCTCACTGCTGTGACTTGCCCCACTCCAAGTCCCCATTCTCCTTTTTTTGTTGTTGTTGTTTGCTGGGCCTAGAGGTAGTTGGACATAGGTATGGAGCTATCTACTGGAGCCACACACCAGAGGCTACACCTTCAAGATACTTACTCCTTTCCCTTCGTAAGCAACTTTCTGCCACATCTTTCTGCCTCCTCTTACAAATCACCAAATTCTTCTCCACTCTATTAAAACTACCAGTAGACAAGCATTGTTTCCCCCTCCCACATGTGCTCAGAGCAGTTCACCAAGGATTACTTCCATTGCCAGTCTCACCCTCCAGTCCCCTGTCTGATGCCTCAGCAGCACCACTGGACATCCTATCATGGGAAACATTCAAGAAATCCTGGTTATCACAGTTCTGTTGCGTAGATACACATTTCATGTTTGTTGAAAAAAGTGAACATTATATCACAGAAGTGATATAATACCAGTGCAAGTAGTCACAAATAAGCATATGTTGATGGTAAAGGGAGTAGGTGGTATAGTTGATGTATTCAGTAAAGACTAGCAGGGTTTTGGATATACCTGGACAGCAGGTATATGCATGATACTGAGAAAACCATGCATAACTACTTAGCTCTTGACTTTTAGTTTCTAGGGGGTGAGAGGAAACAACAAATAAAATACAGAGTCTACCAGATGATAAATGTAAGTAGTTTAGATAGCACTGCAAGCTAGCAAATTATTGCTATGTAAGATAATATCTCTTGAACTTGTAATAGCACACATTTATTTTCTCACATGGGCTCTATGGAGAAGGAATTAGTTTTAGGTCACCTTGGCTGTGGGTCTTTTAAGTGTGCAGTATTGGCTGAGGCACCAAATAGCTCACTAAATTCACCAAATAGTGAATTGGACTTATTCACAAGGTTGACAAGTTGGTTTGGGCTGTTGGAAGGGAGCCACAAGGCCTGCATCTCTTTGGAGACCACTGCAGAGACAGGCTTGAATAGCCTCATGACATGGCAACTTACCTCAGAGAAGGTGACTCAAGAGAACTCATGTCTTCTATGGCCTTGGTTCCTAAATGATGCATAGTTACGTATTCATTATCTCTTGCCTTCACAGGGCAATTGAACTTTGTGAGGAGGAGACTGGTTGAGGAGAATGCTAGGAGGCAAGGATCACTAAAGCCATTTGGGGGGCTAGCTTGCACATGGCTGGACATTGTCCCATATTTCCTTGATCAAATGAGCTCTGCTTTCTCTTTTTCTGCTTTCTCTTGTGGGGTTGGGCAATTCTGTGGTTTTAAACCTTGTGGTTTTGGGGAATAGCTTCTATGTGTCTGCACAGGTCAATTGATTCTAACAGAAAATGATATAGGACTTGTTTCTCAGAACCAGGAGCTCTGTAGGTAGCTGCCACCACTCAGGAAATTTGACCACCTTGCCACCACCTTATTGTAAGCAAGCCTTGATTAGTGTCTGGGGAGATGCCAGACATATGAATGAAGCAGATGATTCCAGCTTAGGACTTTGTTTCACTTCAACCCTATAAAGGACTCAAAAGCAAATGCCTTCCAGGCTGACTTTCCCATTTCTGGACCATAATAGCTGAGAGTAAATTGCTGTGTAAATTACCAGTGTAGGAATTGATTGTTTTACAGAAGAGGATGAGTACTCAGGAAAAGCTACTTTGAAAAGATGACATTCAAGCAAGGCCTTGTGTGTGATGAGAAAGCAGTACACACAGCTGTCTGGAGGAAGGGGGCTGTTCAAGCAACAGAAAAAAAAACCATAGAGCAAAGACCATGAAATAGGAGTGTACTTGGACAACCCAAAGAACAAAAACGATTTTGATGGGGAATTAGAGGGTGCAGGTCAGAATCTAAGAGGATTAGACCAGATGTTCAGTTCCACTTTGAGGGATATAGGAAGTGTTAAAGGGGTTTAACTATAGGTGTGACATAATGCAGCCATTGTATATGGCCTAATCTGTTTCTTCCATAGAGAACAAGAATGTGGGAGACAGAGTAGAAACAGCAGTTAGGAGATAATTCACCTCATGGAGTAGAATTACAGGTCATGGGAGGTGTAGAATTTATAAATGTTTTTTAAAGCACAGTCAACAAGGCAGGCATGGTGGCACATACCTTTAATCTCAGTCTTTTGGAGGCACAAATTAGACAAACCTCTGGATTCTATATTCAATGTAGGGAGTCATTAAAATTATAATTGAATGTGAAAGGCCACATGAAAAGGGAATGAATTAAGAACACTTTGGATTTGGGAGTAGGAAGATGGCTCGGTTGGCCTTAAAATCGCTTGCAACATTATCAGGAGGACCAGGGTTAGATCCCTTGCACCGAGAAAATCAGGCATTTTTTGGCAGTGTTAAGGAAATAGAAACAAATGGATCTCTGGGGCTCACTGGCCAACCAACTTACTATTCTAATGGCAAGCCACAGGTCCCAGTGAGAGACCCTTTTTCATAAAACAAGGTAGACAGTGCCTGCAGAATAACACTCGTGGTTATTCTCTAGTCTCCACTGCTTGTGTGCATGCTGCGCGCACACACACACACACACACACACACACACACACACACACACACACACACCACATACACACACATGGCGGGGAGAAAAGGGGAGGAGACAGAGACAGTCAGACAGGAGAGGACAGAGGACTGTGTCACATGTAGCTGGGCACAGTCTAAACTCACTATGTAGCCAAGCCTGTCTTTGAAAATCTACTTGTTGCTTTTAGGAAAAGATGAAGTGCACAGAGCTTTCCTGTACCTGCTTCTCCTTAATTATCTTCAATCCTAATAAGAAAGAAGCATGTTTTGAAGGATTTTATTCTAGTCTTCCCCAAAACCAATAGACTGAGGTCATCAAAGGAATGGTAGATAGAGAAGAATTCTAAGAATGAAACCCCAAGGCATTGCATTGTAAACTTGAAAGGAAGAGAATCCACCAAGGATACTAAATGGAATAAACAGGGGATGGAGGGGGGAGAACACCAATGTGTGTCAGGTATCAGGGGAAATGTTTCAAGAAAGAGAGTGTTGTGGTTTGCTCTGGAAACTCATACATGTCAACACTTGGTGTCCTTGTGGGAGTGTTGCTTTGGAAGGTTGTAGACCTCTTAGGAAGTAGAGATCCACTGAAGGAAGTGACATACTGGGAGCATGCCTCAGTGAATGTAACTCAGTTCCATTGATGACTACACTAATTAGAGACAGCATCTGTCTCCTAAACATAGCTTTATGGGCATGGATCTTTCAACTAGCATAGGTCACAGTTTCTTTGTCTACAAAGAGGGAAATGGTCCCAAGTTACCCCAGGTTCCCCATATGTTCTAAAACGGTCAAGCTTGTGTCTGGGGATAGGGTTTGGCTTGCAAGCATGAAGATAAGAGCGCCATTCCCAGGATCCACATAAAAATGTTAGGCATGGGCTTTGCAGATGCCGCTTGTCCCCTGCCACTTCTTCCTGCAGCCATGGTCAGCCCCACCATGTTCTTCGACATCACGTCCGGTGGCGAGTCCCTGGGTCACATCTCCTTCGAGCTATTTGCAGACAAAATTCCAAAGACAGCAGAGAACTTTTGCGCTCTGAGCACTGGAGAGAACGGATTTGGATACAAGGGTTCTTCCTTTCACAGAATTATCCCAGGATTCATGTGCCAGGGTCATGACTTCATACACCATAACGGCACTGGCGGCAGGTCCATCTACGGAGAGAAATTTGAGGATGAGAACTTTCATCCTGAAACATACGGTCCTGGCATCTTGTCCATGGCAAATGCTGGACCAAATACAAATAGTTCCCAGTTTTCTATCTGCACTGCCAAGACTGAGTGGTTGGATGGCAAGCATGTGGTCTTTGGGAAGGTGAAAGAAGGGATGAACATTGCAGAAGCCATGGATCGTTTCAGGTCCAAGAATGGCAAGACCAGCAAGAAGATCACCATTTCTGACTGTGGACAACTCTAATTCTTTTGACTTGCGGGCTCCTTACCCACCAGACCATTCCTTCTGTAGCTCCGGAGAGCATCCCACACCCCATCTGCTCACAATGCCCTGTAATCTCTGCTCTCACTGAAATTGTTTGGGTTCCATATTTTCCTTATTCCCCTCCAAGTCTAGCTGAATTGCAGTGTTAAGTTTATGATTATGAATAAAAACTAAGTAAGAAAAAAATGTTAGGCATGTTTGTTACATTTGCTCTTAACAGCATAAGCTATTCCCAAGAAAATGTTGGGCACTAATGTCACTCCTTCTGGAGTCCAGTCTCTCCTTGGCTAATGGCCTTTTCGGCAAAGAACCGCCTCCACCTCAACTGCTGACTTTGGACATGCTGTCCTACTGTGCTTGCTGGAGACAAACATAGACTTCTGAACCTTGCCAAGTCAGGGAAAGACAGCCTTTCTACCTTCCTGCTTCTTGTTGGTCAGTCAGATACTCTAGGCCTCAGCCAAAGCTGGTTGCCTGGACATTGCTGTGAGACTTTGGGTGACTGTCCAAGGTAGCCTAGTGTTTCTGCCTTTGCTACATCTTGTGGAGTTCCCCTACCACCCTAGTATTGTTATCTTCCTTCTCAGGTCTTTGATGAGGTTGAAGATTAGACTGTCACAATTATTGTTTTCTCTTCCTAGATAGAAATATTAGGTACAAGACTTAACCTTCCAGCTTAGGACAACTCCATAGTAATCTCTGTTATGCCTTCACCCTAGGACTGGATATGTAGTTCTTGCCATTTGCTTTTGTTATCTCACTGGCAATAGGCCTCAAGTGTGTATGTTCTTACTTTGTCTTCTTCTAGAGCACATTTGATATTTATTGTCCTTATATATAGTTATGTATGAAGCCTAAATCTTTTCTTTAGACTAAAAAAGGGGAATTGTAGTGAGATATCCACCCCACCCACACCTGTTGTACTGACCACAGTATATTGGGGCATGGGGACAGGTGTAAGCATGGCCCATGGAGTCTAGGTCTGGGTCTCAAACTGGACGCTCTCTCTTACTTCTGGGTCAGAGATGAGAGAAGATCGGAGGACATCCTTAGAGTGGGAACCCGCAGTGGTCGTCTGTTTCTTGTGTAAGTGAATTCTCCTGAATAAAAAACCTCAATCAGCCTGTATTGTGTCCCAGAATCTTATAACCCACTTTACATGTTACTACTTGTAAACCCAGTACTGAGAAGGTAGAGACAGGAGGATCACTGGGGCTTGCTTATCTGTCAGTCTAACCTAATTGTTGAATTCCAAGCCAATGAAAGAGGTGATGGATATTCTGAGGATGGCAAGGTTGTCCTCCAGCCAATATGTGCACATGCCTGTATTGACAATTGCAGGCATGTACAGACACACAAACATGCATGCAAGCACCATGATCAAACTTAGAAAAAAAATAGGTTAGCATCTTTCAGATATTTCTGTTAGGTAGAGAATAAATAAACTATTTCAAGTGCCCTGAGCATCCAAAGAAATCTATTTTGGGATGCAATATATAAGTTTGCTAATTTGCAAGGGCATATTTTTATAGTTAACAGGATAAAATAATGGCCTTTCTGGGTTAAAAGGGGTAGCCCATAAGAGAAGGATAGGAGAGACCAAGATTTACAAGTGTACTAAGTACCAACCAGGGACATTCAGAGTTAATGTTGTTGGAGCTTTGAGCATTGGAGAGAGAAACTGTGTGACTGTTAGTTTATGAAATGAGACACTGGGGCATCTTTGGCACCAGAACTCAACTCTAATTGAATGAATACCTATGTATAAGAGAGAATTTCCTCGTCCCTAAATTCTCCCTTGGCCCAGCAACTGTTCTTCTGAAGCATTTTTCTTACTGTATCATGGTAATGTGTTTCCCACTCTATCATCCTACCTAGAGCTCCATGAAAGAAGGGCTGTACTTATTCACTTTTATACCCATCTTCAAAGCCAGTGTTTCATTAAAGAGTCTCCCAATAAATACCTAATCAGTGCAGGAGTGAATGGAGGATACAGCCAGGGATGAAAGACCTGATTGTTACTCCCTTCTAGCATTTACTAAACAATGACCACCTTGTAATTTGTGGTTGTTGTATGGTCTGAGCATTTACAGGTGTTGATTTGAACTAGTATGTAAGCAAAGGCATGGCCAGGCAGTTTGGTAGTGTGATTGCTATCTTGCAAATGCCACTTGTTATTGTTCTAGTTGGCTTTCTGTTTCTATAATAAACACCATTACCAAAAGCAATTTAGGGAGGACAGGACTTATTTCATCTTATACTTCAGTTCACAATTCATCACTGAGGGCAGTCAGAGCATGAACTCAAGGCAGGAACCTAGAGCAATAATGTGAAGGAATGCTGCCCACTGGCTTGTTATTTTGACTCATTGCTTCAGTTTTTGTTATTTGTAATTAATAGCGGTTAAATTGTCACTTTCATATAACAATTGCTAAATTGGTTGCACATAGTTTTTCATTTATTCTTTTTTATTTTTCATTTTATTTTATGTATTTGGTGTTTTGTCTGAATGTAGGACTGTATTCCATGTATGTAGTTCACATAGAGGCCAGAAGAGGGCATTGGATCCCCCAGAACTGGTGTTATAGAGAGTTGTGAGCTATCTTGTGGGTGCTGGGAAGTGATCTTAGGTCTTCTGGAAGAGCAGCCAGTACTCTTAACTGCTGTTCCATCTCTCCAAACCCTAGCTTTTTTATACAGCCAAGACTGGCAATGTTGCCACCCATAGTAGGCTTGGCCCTCCTACATCAATCATCAATTGAGGCAATATCTCAAAGACTTGGCTCATCTTATCTGGGTGATCACTCAGCTATGATTCTCAGATAACTCTGGGTTATGTGAAACATAGCTGAAGCTAACTAGTAGACTTAGGGTATGGGATAAAGTGTCCACCACAGGTTCATCATTGAATGGTCCCCTAGCTTCTGAGACCATGTAGGAAATAGTGGAAACTTTGGGAGACAAGGCCTAACTGGAGTAGTAGGCCAAATGAGGCATCCCCTTAGATATCTGTTTCTCCTGTCTTTCCTCTGTTTCCTTCCAACCATGAAGTGAGAGTAGCTTCTGCAACATGCTTCTACTTCCATGACATTCTGTTTCATCAGGGCCCCAGAATCAATGGAGTCAAGGAACATGGATGGAGAACTGTGAAAACATGAGGTAAAATATATCCTTCCCCCTTACGTGGCTTATGTTGCTTTCATTAAAGCAACAAAAACTCTAACACATTATCCTAGCCTTTCTTTGTGAGTCTGCTGTATCTTGCACACCCACACAGCAACATCCTTGCTTGTGGATCTAGTCACCTAGACATTTTGGCAAGTGTGGGCCCCAAAATCTCCAGAAGCCCTATAAAGGAGAATTATGAGGAAATGAATCCACTCAAAAATTGTCCTTTCTAGGGGGTCCGGGACTTCCTTATGTGTCCCACCTAACTATAGCGTGTCTGGACAGTATCAAAGGTATGATCTCAGCTGCTCCTTGTCTCTAGCTGTGGGTATCCAGCAAACCAGTCAACTTGGCCCTGAATTCAGCCATGATCCTCTTGTGTACATTCTGAGGGTGGTTTTGATTTTCAAGAAACCTTTCTTATGACAACTCCAGGCTATTGTAGATGTCAGAGGGGCAAAGTAGCCATCACTATGTGGGCAGTAAAGGCTTCCTCTGGAGCTGAAATCATTCACCATCTCATTTGTTTTGTCTTTCTGCTTCTTAGTGGCTGAAAGAATGCAGCCTTATTTCCCATTTTCAGGGGCTTCTATTGCATCTGTGAAGCTGAGAGGGTCCTGATGGGTCTTTTCCAACTTTAACATTGTCCACCATTGAGGACCTCTTTCAGGGCTGAAGGTGGATTCCAGCATAGTTTGTTCTTTCAGCTCGGAATCTGCCCCGCCCAGCCACTCCTGTGTCTTGAAATAATGTTTTGGTTGTAATCTCCCCCAGTCCTTACCTCTGTGCTACAATTTTTATCTTTCTCAACATTGCTTTTTTTTTTCATATTTAATCTAGGTTATTTTACAAGTGTTCTGGAAAAATGGAAATCAAATTGGCTAATACTTATTTAGTTATTAATCTGATACTAGGGACAAGGGTTCTGAACCCCCCAATCACATAGCTCAGCATAAATGTCAGATCCATGGTGACAACATCGTGTTAAAGTCTTCAGGGGTTTGTGTATGGTGCCTCTCTTCCACCCTGAGACATTTGTTCTTGATGCAGAGGGAGGAAATAGAGCTCCTGCTCCCACCCAATGTTCACTCCTCAGGTCCCAGAACAAAGGACAGATTAAGATGGGAAGATCATACACGTTTATGTAATAGAAATTTCCTTCCTGTGAGACTGAACCCTTCAAAGGAAATGGTGACTCAAGGGAATAGTGAGGCTTTTTGTCTTGTTTGTGTTTGTTTGTTGAAGAATGGGGTGTTAAGATGTGTTACTGAGCAAAGAGCATCTGATGGAATAGCAGTGAACTTGAGGGGCGTGGCAAGCTCTGCCTGTGAAGACTTTTCTTTCCGTGTCTGTAAAGATGAGGATATTCCTCCTGGGAGAAGAGTGAACACCTCCTGTATGGGACATCTTATTGTATGCACCAGGGGAAAAGAATGAGGGAAGGCCAGAGAGCCTTCTGACATGCTGTCTCTCACACCTCTTCAGGTTAAAATATCCACCATGCCAGTGTGCTATAATATGTGTTAGTATGTCCTGGACTCCATGTCCATATAGATATGAATATCTATAAAGACTAGATGATGGCACTTTACCTCCAGTGTCTTTGGAGCAAACGTAATTTGTACCTTCTGTCTACTGCAATTCGGTCTTTGGTTTTTCTGGAGGAATTTCTGTCTTGTGATTATGTTGTTTTAACTCTGGGGAAAACTTTAAGTGAAAATAGCTGTGTGTGAAATTCCTGGGGACTCAGATTTTGAAAGCAGGCTGAGAAGGCGGTGTGGAGCAGGGTGTTTTGAGAGCTTGGGCCACACAAAAGGTGCCGTGGCTCCCTCTAGGGGAGAAAGCTATAGCAGCACTTTGCAGGTGGTCATTTGCCTTGTTTACTCAGGGCAAAATTTTAACTCCACTTTCGCTTCAAGGGAACAAACTTTATTGGAAACAAGTGAATATTTTCACCAGGAAATCCTGATTCCTGGGTGTGGTCTGGGAAATGGAAATTTCCGAGGTTTCC